ACTGTTTTTTCCCCTGCCTTGGCACACACTGAGGGCGCTGTTGAGTGTGGCCTGCCTCCCACAGCCCCCTCAAAGCCATTAGAAGGGTTTTATCCTTTTAAAGGGGCCAGGGAGAGCGTTCCAGGGCTGCTTGGCTCCCGTCCAGGCGAAATGCACATTAAATGGACCCACTGGCCTTCTGGGCTCGGTGAGCGCTGCTACTGCCGGTATTTTAATATCGAACGTTGGCGGTGTGCGGTCTGGCCAGGTCAGCGTTTGGCGGCTGGCTTGGGACGTGGCCTCCCCTCAGAAGCAAAATGGTTCCCCAGATGGGATTTTTCTCCTGAGTCCTGCCAGCCCTACAAGTCCATTAGGTGGCTAATATTTTATCTTTTGAGAATGACTGGCAAGGCGTGGGGAGCAGGTGGATGGCTAGGCTCCCTCTTCCGAATCCCAGGTAGTGTTCTCCGTGCCAGCTACAGGTGGCTTCCAGCAGCTCCCCACTCCTGCCTCCTTGCAGGATGCTGTTGAATCGTCATGGTAAGTTCACACTGTGGCAGGTGCTTGCTTGCACCAGCAAAAGGAGTAAACAGGCAGCATGGATAGGAATTCCTAGGATCGTGGATTCTGCCCTTTTGAAAGGCAACTCTCAAAAATGCTGTGCAGGTATCTGAACAATTCTGAGGCATTTCTTAGTTTGGAAATAAAGCGCCATCAGAGGGCCAGTGCGTAAAGCTTTGCTTTCTCTTTCTGACCTTGCTGGTGGCCATAGCTGCATTCGTGTTTAAAGCAGTGCAGAGTGTTTGAGCTGGGCAACCCAGCTTGGCCTCCCTTTTCCTGCCACCTTTTCACATAGCGTAGGGGCTGTTCCCATGTAATGCTAAGCTGCCATGGCTGAACTTCCCGCTGGGCTTAATGGAGTGTGGTGGCTGCCATTTTGTATGTGCAAGCACTGGCGGTGGGCTCAAAGCTGACCCTCCCCTGCAAAGAGTCGTAACTTGTTTGTGAATCATTTGAAGGTTGCCCCTCTGCACAAGTATTCCATGAATACACAACACAGAAGGCGGAAGTCCCTGCGAACACCACACAGCAGGTGTGCCCGTGGGTGCCATGTGCAATGGGCCACGAGAACTGGAGGAGACTTTGTAGGCCATCTAGCTCAAGCTCTGCTCATATTATAACTTCTTTTGCTTCGCTCTCCTCCAAGCTGAACATACCTGATTCCTTCACCTTTCCCCATAGAACGTATCTTCAGTATCCTGATCATCTCCGTTGCCCTCTTCTGAACGCGTTCCAATTTGTCGATATTCTCCTTAAGGTCAATGCCTAAAACGGACACAGTGCTCACAGGGAAGCTGGAGCTGGCAGAGGTACAGAATAAAGTGTTTCGGGAAGGAAGGTTCTTTGACGCTGCCTAAACTCGCACTACTCTTTTTATAGCTGCATCGCACTGCTGGCTCATGCTCTTCCTGCACTCAGATACAGTATGGAGATTTTTCGCATATGCTTCTGCCATCCTTTGTCCATATTTATAAATGCGCTATGTTCTTGCTATCACAGAAATGTAAAAATGTGCCATTTTCCCTCGCTGAATTGATTTTTTTTCATTTTTGGCTCAAAATTTCTATCCTGTCGGGGTCATTTTGAATTGTATTCCTGTCTTCGGATTTGCTTACTCTCTGTCCCAGTCGCTCACAAACCTGATACGGATTGCTTGCACTCCTTCAGGCAAGTCATTGATTAGAGTGTTGATGAGTGCCAGGCCCAAGGCAGAGTCTTGCAGCACACGGTTAGGAACCTTACTTCAGTTTGATGAGAAAATACTCCTGAGCGCTGCCATCTAGCTCACGTTTAACCACTCTGCTGTTGTGAAATGTCTTTTCAGAAAATAAGATGAATGGCATTTACAGCATTCCTACAATCCTAAGAACAGGGTTAAAGACACACACAGTGAGATTATTAGTCTGGCAGGATCCATTCTTGATGGATCTTAAAATAGATGGACTTCATCTAGGCCCCTCTTGCCAATGCAAGAAACCCACTGCTACAGTACGTCGGATCAGCCTTCCAAAGCACTCTGCTCCATCACACTTCCACTTCGTGCTTTCGGAAAGTTATTCCAACAGTTTGGTCAAATTCCTGTTTCTTACATTTTGAATTCACTGATGCAAATTTTCTTCATCCATACAAATCACTGTACTGTTATCAAGATGCTTACAAATTGGCTCCTGCAAACTGGTGTTAGGCCCTGGTATTGAACTCAGATTGACTAGTCCACTTTTCCAAATCCTTGTTTGCCCATCTCTAGTTCTGAGGCACCATATCATGGCCACAATTTCTGTTTTCTGAATATCTAAATGTAAGTCCATGAAACAGAACTTCTCTGACAAAGTAAAGATGATGCTGCCACTCCAGCCCAGGCTTACCCCTGAAACGAGATGTAAGGGCTCTCCGTAGTATTGCATGAAATTTCTCGGTATCTCCATGTTGGAAGGCTATAATTTCAAGCTAGCTTGGGCAACCCGAAGTTCCTCCACTTCAGCATCTTTTCCACCTCATGGCATCAGTATTAAGCAATGGGCAAATTAAACTCTTCATAAATTTAAATGAATTAAGTAGAGATTGGGGTACTGTTTTCTCATGAATAACTATATTCTGGAATAGTCTTATATGATAGGTAACTAGCAAACATTTTTTGGAATTTCTTCCTCTCCATCTGGCGATGTCTTTTGGATGTCCTAGAAATCCTTAGTTGCATTGACACACTGGTTCCATGTCGCTTAGACCTGCTCCCCTCTTAGGATAGGTATGAACCCAGTGAGAGTATTATGTGCCCCCATTTGGAAATTGTCTGAAAACAACTCGCTTGGCTCTCTAGTTCAAGACGCCGCACGAACTGTCCAATCCCTTTTGGCCAGGACTTTATCCTGCTCGTTTCTTGTCAGTGGGGGCTGCCTGTGGAGCACCTGGTCTGCATATTGAGTGGTGAAGGTGCTGTGAGGCTGCCGTGCAGGCCCAAACCAGAGGCTGCTGCCGCCGCCTCTTCTTCCGTTTTGCCCTTTGTTTTAGCGCTGCCAGAACAGATGTGACTGTGAACAGCATGCAGCTGCCTGTGCAGCTCATGCCAGGGCCGGCCAGTTCAGGCCAGGCCGCTCTACCCCCGTGGCAGGTCCCTAATGCACTTCCCACATGGATAACTATTGCCAGGATCTCCAGGATGACATGGAAGCAGCTGCCGCCCCAGACGATGCCAGGCCCACTCCAGGAATCGCTGGCACGGGGCTGTGGCAGGGGCAAAGACTGCGAGAGTTGCAGCTGGTCAGAATGCAGGACAGTCTCTCTCTCAGCGCTGAATGCACATTTCTGGATTGTTGCAGAACACACTCCAGAACAGATCCACAAGAAGAGCAGTGCTGTGGCAGAATCCTGCTGCCAGACAAATACTGCTGGGAAGTCCACAGGCAGGCTGTGTGCTGCAGTCAAAAGATGCTTCGCTGGGTGACCCTGAGTTCCAGTGCAGGGGGAGGGAAAAATATATCCACCTTCTCCATTCCCGTTCCGACAATCGTACCTTCGTTCCCCTTGGTTATCTCCTCCACCCTGCTTACTGGGAAAGTGCCGAGGCTCATGGCACCGTGCCAGCGTCAAGGCCAACTTAGGAGTTCCTAGAGCCATTGCAAGACATTGGAGCTACAGCCAGAGACAAAACAGAGACAGAGCTGAGATTATGCTGTTGGCCCAGCAAGCTTGCAAAGCCAGGCTCCCAATGTTTGTACCACAACTAGGAGCCCACTGAGAACATCAGTTCAGACTAGACTGGAAGCCTGTCAGGTTGGCCCCACTGTTTTTTCATGTAAGCCAGTTTTTGTTTTTCAGAAGACAAAGCAGTGGATCCGAAATAACATTTTGCACACAGTTTGGCAACGATTCAGAATTCCTTTCTAAAAACACGCAGTTTCACTTTCTGCAACTTGACTTCAAAGGTTCTTTTTTTTTTTTTTTAAGTAACTTTCTGTCCATGACGTCTAAGACAAGTATAAATGTCTCTATTTAATGCTTCTTAGACCTCTGGCTCTGATGTGATCTGTGGTTGAGAACGCTGAAAAGCCTTCACATTCCAGCCATCCCACAAAGACCTACGTGGCCACATTCGAAGAAGCATGGAAGGCAGCTTTCGAAACTTACGATCATCGTGTGGGGAAATTTTTGGACGCAGCTTTGGATGGGCGCCTGGTCAGACTTGCAGTGCGTGAGATGCCTGTAATCTCAGCACACTTACAGGCAGGTCCAGTCTGCTACGATCTAGTGGCACCTGCCTCCGCACGACAGGGGTGTTCTGTAGCGTGTTTTAATAGCAGAGGCACCGTGCGACGCGTCTGCATTCATTTTCACCAGTGAGGCTCTCATGTCAGTCATCTGCTGACATGTATGCAAGCCGACGTCATCCACACGGCTCTTCTGCATAGCAGATGTCTCTCTTTCCTTTCTCTTCCATTGTGACGGCAATCTGATAAATACCGAGAGTTTCAACAGTGACTTATGCCTTGACAACACAATCATATCGCATGGAAATGTATCCGTTGTGTTCAACTAACCATCGGTAGCTGCGCCATCTTGTTGCGAGTTGTTCGGAACTTTGCTCCTGTCTGGACTGCAAACTACTTGTGTGGCCTCAGACCAGTCAGTCTTTTCCAGTGTGAATCTCTACTCTGTTGGATTAGGAATGAGGGCAGGAGGTAGCGAGGACCAGCCCTAATCAGTGCTTTGCAGATTAAAAAAAATGGCAGAAGCGTTTCTTTGGCTTGCGGCCACTCTCCCAGAAATTGCAAATTCCTGTGGCTTGCAGGAGCCCCGACACCCGGTGTGCTGCTCACAGGATGGGGTGCAGTCCCACTATTGGATGGGTGCGGAAGAATCCTCTCCCATGTTTGCCCAAACACATCTGCGCTTTTTGTGTCTGTTCCAGCTTTCCTCGGGTGGAGTGCCGGTTATGTTTGCTCACGGCTCCTTTTCTTTCTTAGCAAGAAGCTGGGTCACGGAGCAGTGGTGGAAACGGCGGCGGCGGCAGCAGGGACCGCCTGATAGCTGAGGCACCGTTACCCCAGGAGAAAGCGAGTGGACCAGCGGTTCCTTCTCATTTGCTTGGGACTCCATACTCCTTTGGAATCCCACCCAACGCCATTGTGCAAGACTCCCGCTTCCCACCTCTCAAGTAAGTGATGCCACAGCAGGGGTCCGAGGGCAAGTGAAATGGCAGTGGGCTAGAGGGGCAGCCCATTCTTCTCCGAGGGGCGAACATCCCGGGAAGTGATCCCTGTCTCACCTGTGTGTTTGCTTTTGTCCGAGGGTCCTTCTGCACATTAGCTTTTACACGATAGTTTCCCATGGACTCTGCGCATCACCTATATGGGCTTTTTCCCTGCATATTAGTTTTTACATCACAGTTCCTCATTTCCAGTTGCAGTACTGTGATACCACTTTTGTGTGTAATAAATTACGTAACCGTAGAAGGAAAAGTCTCACTAAAGTTTGCTCTACCCTCTAAAAGACTCTGTCCATCCCAGCAGGGAGTTATTCTGCAGCACTGAGGGGAATACAATTAAATAAGAGCTTCACTCAGGGTGGGAGTATCATCAGCTCATTAATACTGGCCAAAACTTGACCAACCTCACTCAGGTCCTGAATTCCTGTTGTTCCTAAGATGCAATGGCACAGATCAACCATTCACTGGCAATCGGGGCCTGAAAAACTGCTCTGACTCCCCTCCGTGTGGGAGGGGCACAAGTGTCTTTGTGAGATTCATTCAGGGACCGTGTGGGAGGCGCATTTGGAAGAGCTGCTGCAGATGTCCTGAGCTGCCTCCTCTCTCCACTCTCCCCTGTCACGTAGCAGTCTGCAGCGGCCTGTCCACCACGTGGTGCCTCCCAGTGCGGTTACGGAAGACTACCTGCGGAGCTTTCGACCCTATCACACAGCGGAGGAGCTCCGCATGTCCTCCCTGCCTCCCATCACTCTGGATCCGGCGACGGCTGCGGCGTACTACCATCCCAGCTACCTTGCTCACCACCCCTTTCCTCACCCAGCCTTCAGGTGAGACGCAAAAGCCGCCTGAGAAACGTTGTGTGCTCCCTCGTGTGGGGCCCAGAATTTGACTGAGTCGTTGGGCAGTTCCCCAAGCATGTCCTGCGGTACCACTGTTAATAGACAGGTCCTCGACACAATGGTGGGTTCTCCAAGGGCTTCGGCGCAGTTGTGGCAACGCACAACAGGCAATCACTTAAAGCAGCAGCAGGACTCTTGATGCTGGTCCATTAATTTCTACTTCGAATGAGGTCCTGTTGAGCATGGCTGCCTCCGCACAGCTTCTGTTGTGCCCTGGTCAGCAAGACGTGCTGCGGCCGTGGAGAGCCGAGATCGAGCACAGAACTCGGAGCACAAATACCTTTAAGACAACCTGTGGGAAACCTACGAATCTGCCTCTGGTTTTTTCTTTGTGACTAGCAAGTCTGCCGTGTCATAGAGACTGTTTATCTGGATGCATAGCAATGGATGGCTGTCGGGTGTGTGTGAAATTGTCCCTTGCGAGATCCACTGAGGAGGTCCCTCTTTCGGTACTGCCACCTGCTGTGATAGGTGTCAGGTGTGTGAAAACACAGGAGTGCGCCCTTTCTTTGTAAGCATGCCCCGTCTCTTGAATTCCCTTTCCAGGGTCATGTACCTGGTGTCTGAGTTTGGGGCACTGCATGAAAACATGCCTGTGTGTGTTCCACCTCAGGTCTTCCAATTGAGGTTGCAATGCCTTCCTACTCTGCCACTGTTTTTAGTATAGTTTTCAATGTTGGCATCCCATTGCTAAAATTGTGCTAGCTGCCTTGCTGCCTTGATATAATGCTATGAATAAAGCAGAAGGACAAATATATTGAGTAAAGATGGGGTGGGGGAAAGAAAGACGTCCTCCTCCTCCTCCTCCTCCTCCTCCTCCTCTTTGTTCTCTCGTCGTTGCGAAGCTGGAGCTTAGCTGGGAGGGCCATGTGACTTTCAGAACTGATTTCCTGTGGATTCCAAAGGCATTGCCCTGCTGGTAGCTTCAATGCTCCAGACATTTCCAAAGCCAGAAACTTCACTCACAGCTTTGGAGCTTCTGTTCCGAAGCTGAAGTCCATGGCCCTACATTTTTCCCCATCTGGGTGATTCGGCTATGGTCTCCCACTAGCAGCACCTGTTCATTGAATCCCTCTCCAGCTGTTTCTGCATATAGCAGATCCATCTTCTTGGATCAGAGCGACCAAGAGATCAGTCCATCTCATTGGACTAGAATGAGGGTCTGCTCGCTCGCCAGATTCTGTCTGCTGGGTAGACGAAAATTACGGTGGCCGGAGCTAAGGAAGCTGAGTGACTTCTTTTGATGGACGGCTCCTTTCTTTTCAGGATGGATGATTCCTACTGCCTTTCAGCTCTGCGCTCACCTTTCTATCCAATTCCGACTCCTGGTTCTCTCCCACCCCTTCATCCATCAGCCATGCACCTCCACCTGTCAGGAGTGAGGTACCCCACCGAGTTGTCTCACTCGTCTCTCTCCGCCCTTCAGCCTGAACGCATATCCAGCCTGACTGCAGAGAGGTATGGAACTAGTTCGGTCTCCTTGCGGGTTTTGGGGACGACGTGGAAGCTTCCCCTTTGAGCTTACTTGAACCTTGCTTGTTCTCTTGGTTTTTGCAGGCTGCAGATGGATGAGGAGCTAAGGCAAAGGGAGCGCGAAAAGGAGCGAGAACGGGAAGCCGATCGCGAGCGAGAGAGGGAACGGGAGAGGGAACGTGAGCGGGAAAAGGAGCTGGAACGTGAGCGAGAAAAAGAGAGGGAGCGGGAGCGGGAGCTGGAGAGACAGCGGGAGAGAGCCCGGGAGAAAGAACAGAGCATCGTGAAAGCCATGGAAGGCCCCTTCTTACCGGTGTCAGAGTTGCATGGGATAAGAAGCCATCCTCCAGAGGAGCGTGTCAAACCATCTGAGCAGCTAACGCCAAATCGAGCAGGTGAATCCGATGCTGCTTTCCTTTTGACAGACAGAGGCAGCCAGGTCTGCTTGCCACGGACATGATACAGCCGACAAAAAGCTGAGACATGGCCCTTGGCTCCGGGGCATTAAACAAGCCTGAGGAGCGTTGATTATATGTGGGTCCTGAGCCAGCTGTGCTACTGGTTTTGGTTGTGATGGTCGCTGTCAGAATAGTTGTGTAATTTGAAGTATTCTGTTCCCACATAGGCCCTAGTAGCTGGGGTGTGCTTTGTGTAGTCTGCACATCTGTAGATTTGCACGTCGCGTGAGGAATCCGGTTTTTGCTGTAGAACTGGACATCAAGATGTTTTCTGAAGCATCCACACAGGCCATAATTTTGCACAGCAAGCTCCAGGGAGAATCCCTTAATTTGGCCACTTTCTGATGAAACCTTTCGAACAAGCTGAGAGATACCAGCAGGCCTTCTGTTCTGTAAAGATCTCTCTCCTCACTGGCCATCCAATGTCAACATTCCTTCCTCTTCCATTCTCCACTTCTGCATAACACTGAATGCAGTTCACTGCATTATGCATGGGATCTGCACAGGGAGAGCGACCTCTTCATATTGCATGAAGCATTAAATCATAGCTTTGTTTAGCAGATGTTCATGTTTAGGGTTAGGGAACAGATTCGTGCGGCCAAGCAAGTCCCCGTTCTAGAGCATGTACGTTCCCCACAAGATCTGTGTGACACTGTTTCCCCCTGAGTTAGACTCCTTTTTTGTCCAGCACAGGCACGGCATAAGTGATATAGCCCCCAGTTTTCCTGGTGCTGCCTTCAGACTGGACAGAGATGCTTTGAGCAGTCAGCGGCATCCCGAGCCTCACCGAATGCCAAAGCCTGTTTTGCGTGTGAGCGTTTGCATCTCTTTTTCTTCTTCACAGAGAAGTCCAAGGATTCTTCTGCTCTCCAGACCCCCAAGCCAGTCCAGCATCCTTTGCACCAGTCATCTGCCTCGCACCATCCAGTGCCCAACTTAATTTCCAACCACAGCATCTTCCCCCTGCCTGGAAGCAGCACAGCCACGGCCCTCCTCATCCAGCGCACCAATGAGGAAGAGAAGTGGCTGGCGCGGCAGCGGCGGCTGCGGCAGGAGAAGGAGGACCGCCAGTCCCAGGTGTCGGAGTTCCGACAGCAAGTGCTGGAGCAGCATTTGGACATTGGGCGCCCCCCCGGCCAGATGGACGTGGAGCACCGACCAGAGAACCCCCGGTAAGGCTCGCCTCTCGGCGGCCGGACCGCACCGGTCTCCCCGAGCGGACCAGAAGGTGCCCCGGCGGAGGCGGCCGCTTTGCTTGCGAGGGAGCAGCCCGCCTGCCACTGGGGGGAAGCCACCTCGGAAGGATAAATGAGGCTCAGCATCTTCCTCTGGCTGCACGCAATCTGAATTGCAGCGGGCCTGAGCTAATGCCATCCGACAGCTGCCTGGAAGCCTGGGCAGAATGAGCACGGTGGCCGCCGTCCAACTGGCGGTGGCCAGGTGTCCCTGAGACGGTTGTCACTAATTGGTGCCATCTTTGGCAGATGGGAGGGAGCCGGGACTGGGCCTTGGAGACGTAGCGCTGAATGGGGTACAGCAGTGCCGGCGCTGGCACTTCCCGGCTTTTAACATGTGGTCCAGGAGGAGGTGAAAGAGTCCAAGGTTGGCCTTTAAAGCCTTATTGCCCATTTGGCCGGGAGCAAGATGACTGTCGGGGCACCAGGCGAGGTCTTCCCGGTGCTCCAACCATATTCTGCAGTGCAGTCACAGTAATCAGTAATGGATATGCTGCATTTTGTGGTCAGCATGGCAGAACGTTGGCTTCAGGTGCTGGGATCATTACAACAAAATCTGCCAATTATGCCCAGTCCTAATCCGGAGAGATCGGATTTTACCAGCACGTGACCCACATTATGAATAGCTAAGCACCTGCCCAGAGGTTTGCATCTCAGGTAAATAATTTATCTCAAATACATGGCAAGAAGCTTTTAACTAGTGACCTGAAGTATTCAGGTTTGGTTAACCAGAAAAGGCAGCTACCTTTAGAATCCATTAGGCTGTTCGGACGTCATTTACTGAGAACCACGTCCCCCTAACAGTCAGTTTGTGCGTGTGACTGGAAGCAGCGATCTTAACGTTTCATGAGTGCCGCCTTCTTGAGTCTTGCTGGATTTCTAGGGGCTGCCAACAGCCTTACTAACCAAACGGCGCTCACATGGACCCGTGGATTTACTAGTGAATCCGAATAATTTTGGATGGCGATATACCCACATGAAGCCAGGCGAGGCTATGAGACGTAGCGAAATCAAAAGGAAGGAAACATCCTGCCTCTCCTTAAAGGAGCACATTTTACAGATGAAAGGCCCAGCTCTTAGCAGTGAAGCTTCTGGTTGGCCTGAGAAGGTCGCTGCCTGTTTTGGGCTGTTTGTTTGTTTGTTTGTTTATTTATTTATTTAAAACATTTCTATGCCGCCCCCATCGCAACAAAGCCTCGGGGCAGCTCGCAAAGGATACATAAATACCTAAATAATAACAATACAACAAATTAAAAAAAATGGTTTAAAAACCCCCGGTGCATTCTCGGCTAAAAATTTAAAATCCTATTAATTCAAATAATTTAACAACTAAAATAAGTTTTAAATAAAAAGGTCTTAGCCTGGCGCTGAAAAACAAATAATGACGGCGCCAGGCGGACCTCTCTGGGGAGCGCATTCCATAGATTGGGTGCCACCGCAGAGAAAGCCCTCCTCCGGGTACTCACCCTCCTAATATCTTTCACGGACGGTTTCCGGGGAAGGGCCTCTCCCGCTGATCTCAAGGGGCGGGAGGGCATGTATGGGTGCAAGCGATGGTAAACCACATTACAAAGCAGTTGCTGTGCAGACCCACAAGAGCGTTGGCGATCGGCAGGTGCATCGAGGACGGAGCCTTCTCTTTTCCGCTGCATTTTGCCTGAAAAGCACTAGGTGTCACTCCAACCCCAGACTGCCACAGACAAAGCCAGAAACTTGGCTAGGTCTGTTTTTTCGCCATGGGGTCGGACGTGTGTCCAGAACACGTTGTTGAGCGCTGCACACCTGCCATGGCAGAGGTGTCCTCCAGTCCCGTGACTTTCCCAGCCGCGAGACATAGATGGTCCTTCGGTAGCAGCAAGGAGCAACTTACCGTTAGGGCCGCTCTTGGTGCACCATGCTTATTCTTGTGCATCCCCTCCCTCTTGCAGATTGGGACCAAGCCGCCCTGAAGCAACTAGCCGAGACCAACCACCGCATTTTGGAGGGCCCCCTCCACTCATTTCCCCCAAGGCGCAGCACCACCCTGTGCCCACATCGCTCTGGAACCCTGTCTCCTTGATGGACACCACCACTGAACCCCGAAGGATACCAGACAGCCACCCTCTCCAAAGCCACGCCAGCCAGTATGAACCCAGCCGGCAAGCCATTCCCCTCGTGAAAGTGGAGCGGGTATTCTGTCCGGAGAAACTCGAGGAAGGGGCCAGGAAGAGAGAAGCCCTGGACAAGTACCAGCCAGTCAGAGAAGCTGGGGGAACAGAGCATGGGGGCTTTTCCCATGGACCCTTCTTAGCAGAACTGGAGAAATCCACACAGAGCATTCTGAACCAGCAGAGGGCGTCTCTCTCACAGACTGGGCAGTTTGTGGATGCCACGAGCAACAAGCCTGGGTCTCCTTACAGACCTCCCTTGCCCAGGGGCCAGGATCCCATGTATGTTTACGATGAATTCTTGCAGCAACACCGCAAGCTTGTCAGCAAACTGGACCTGGAGGAAAAAAGGCGGAGAGAAGCCCAGGAGAAAGGTCAGTGTTGAAGGGGCTGCAGTATTTCCATCACCGTAGCGCCCTATGTTCTTGAGAATGAAAGGGTATGTTTAATTTCTGCTGGGTTGTGCTGCTTCCTCAAATGTAGGAAGAGCTCATTTCTAAGCGATGTGTCTTCCTGAAAACCATGCCCAGTGCTTAGAACCATCAGTGTCCAGGCTTTTCTTGCTTCCCTTCAGGAAATGACGTTTCAGTCAAGCATGTGGGTTCACTTGAAGTCGTGTTTCATGGCTTGCTTTGTGCTGAGGCACTTGTGTAAGAACAAGCCTGCCCTTCCTGAAGACCTGATACCCTTCCTTGGACAAGGCAACAGAGGGAGTAGCTCCCCTTCATTAGCCTCACATAACTTCGTGCATCTGCTTCGTTTGTGGTGTTTTAAAGAACCCTTTTATGTTTTGAAGCAGTGCAGCTTTGGAAACTTCAGGGCTTTTTCAGTGGACATGCAGAGATCTCAGAGTGGGCTCGGTCCCCCATTGCACTGGCTCTTTATTGCCTGTGTGGGGCTGAAGGCAGCTTGACAGCGGTGCCTAGCGCTTCCGGCCCAGCATCTCTGTGCTGCAAGGACCGTGCCGCTAGAGCGCCGCGCACGCGGGAACCCTTCAGGCAGCGCACTTCCGTTTGGATTCCATTTCACAGTGGCTGGAAAAAGCACCCAGCTGGATCCTCCTTCCCATGGAGGCATCTCGAGGAGCAAGTCCTGAATGGCTCTTCTCGCCTATGTAGGCAGGGCTCCACCGTGGTCGGATCGAAGGGCACCGCTTTCCTGAGTGGTCGCTGGATGGCTCTGTAATTTCCAGGAGCAGGAAAATCTGTTCCCTTGCCCTGCATGAACCCTTCTTTGCTGGGCAATCTGTCGGATGTGCCCAGGGCTGCAGTTGACTTTACAATGCCTGGTAGGGGCATAAACTAAGGGGAAAGCAGACTTTTGGGCTTTGCCACTGCCTTGGTAGCTAAGGAGTCACGCACCTCTTGAGGAGCTAATTGACTTTGCAGTGCAGCAAGCAGCTCCCTCTCCCCACTGCGTCTGCAGACCACCTTGAACACCCGAGCCAAGCCGCTCAGCAGGTCCTGCCTCCAGGACAGGCCCATTAATACATGATGAACTGCGACTAATAAAGCAGCTTTACATATTCCTCTGGAATGCGCAGCCAGAGTTAAAATAGCAAAAGGGAGCAAGTCAAAACACTTGGCTGGGAGTGAGGGAATCCGGGTAGGGAGAGGGCAGGACTTCTGCCATGTGCTGCCACAGCCGCCCTCCACGTTCGTCTTCTTGCCTCGCGCGTGTCTGCTTCCATCTGCCGCATGAACCGAACGCGGTGCGCTGGCAGCGTGGCTCGTTGCTGTCCTACAGGGAGCGTGAGCGAGGTCTCCCGTGCGGTTCAGGCATGTGCGGGAGAGTGAGAGGACCCGTCCCTGCTGGGCACAGGTGCTCCCACCATAAAAAGGGACGTTGCGAAAGGACCGAGTCCAGGTGTCTGCCATGTCAGCTTGTTCCGCACCAGCCAGTCATGAGCAGCCTGGCACGCTGGTGTGCCTGGCTGGCTCACACACACACACACGCACGCGTGCGAGGTGACGGCGCCTGCCGCCACAGGAGAGCCTAAGCACAAGTAGAGTCGCAACCTTGCCTTCTGACAAACAGAGCAGTGTCGTCGCACATCCCAAGACGCCTCTGCCGACCTCACTCGTACGGCGGGCCCAGCAGCTGGCGTTTCATGTGCATTATTCTCTTCTAATCCGGTCCGACCCTCGTTTGCATAATTTCTCTCTTGCAGGCTTGGAGCATCCCTCAGGCAAAACCAATACAAACCCGAGTTAGTCTGAGCCGATCCTTTCCAGAGGCGTCTCTGTGGCAGGGAGTCTCCTTCCTGCCCAGGGGACGCATACCATTGCCCTCGCCGGTGCGTTTTCTGGCTCCTGCCTGCGCTCTTCTGAGAACGGCGATGGCCGTGCATTCAGCAGCTGCTGAGAACAGCGCAGTGGGACGTAAACAGCCCTGGCCGTTGCTCCAGAGCAAAGCGTGTTCCGCCACAGGGTGTATCTCGCTTCTTAGCTGCAGAGGAGCTAAACGAGCGTACTGTGCCTTGACAGCACTCAGTCAGAGGGTTTCTGCTACCCACGTGTGTCATGGCTGCTGTTCTGCCTTGGACATGCAGGTTACTATTATGATCTGGATGACTCCTACGACGAGAGCGACGAAGAGGAAGTACGAGTCCATCTGCGATGCGTTGCAGAGCAGCCGCCCCTCAAGCTGGACACCTCCTCTGAGGTAAGCTCCGTCTCATAGAAAGCCAGAGCGTTTGGGGTCTCGTGCAGGGGCTTGTTCAGAACCTCCACAGATGGGTGCCAGGAGTGACTGATCAGAAGCATCCTGCCAGGGATGCCGTTCGGGACGGATCTTCCTCTGTGCCGCCACCTGTGGGCTGGCTCATCACTCCAAGACAGGATCAGATCTTCAGTGCAAACGTGACGGTGCGCACTGCCTCTTCAAGAGAATGTGCTTGATTAGAAAATGGTTAGCCTGCAAAATGCCAAAGAGAAGAAATTTGTTCCAGACAGATTGGGCAGTAGCCTCACAAACCTGAGTTCTTCCACACGGTGCTCAGTCCTGCTTGAACTGGTTCAGCGTAAGAATATTCCGCATACCTTTGGCAGCTGAATATTGTCAGACTCTTGGGTGGACATCGATGCATCTCTGCTCCTGTGTAACTGAAGGGTTTGCATTTGCGTAAAAGTTCCATGAGTGATTGCCTTCCCTGAGCAGGCCTGTGCATCTGATTGCATCATCCAGTGCTTCCATGTTCACTTCGGCCAAAGAAACGTGCTGATGAACGTTCTCTCGCTATTATGCCCTTCCAGAAACTGGAGTTCTTGCAGCTCTTTGGACTGACCACCCAACAGCAGAAGGAAGAGCTGCTGACTCAGAAGCGGAGGAAAAGGAGGAGGATGTTGCGAGAGCGGAGTCCGTCCCCACCAGTGGTCCAGAATAAACGCCAGACCCCCTCTCCACGCTGCGTGCTTTCAACGCGTTACAGCCCCGATGACATGAACAACAGTCCCAACTTTGAGGAGAAAAAGAAGTTCCTCACCGCCTTCAATTTAACTCACATCACTGCTGAGAAAAGGAAAGGTACCTATCAGGGCCCTCGGACAGGGGGAAAACAAGTAGACTCCTCTTGGACTAAGTAACAATCGGGAAGTGAGATTTCACCAAGATTCATAAGTCCTGAAGGAACATACTAGTTCTGCATCTCTCGAACCTGACCATCTCTAGTTTATGGTCTGATGGGTGCCTTTCCTGTGGAATATCCCCACCTAAATTCACATCTGCACAGAATCATATGCAAGGGTCATGCAGGGTATGTAAGAGCCCATAAGAAACGGGATTGTAGGCCCACCTGCCTTCTGAAAGAAAACCTCAGCTTGCACAACCCGTCCACATTAGGTCTAGCAAATTATTCACGGAAGCGTGGTATTCATAACCTGACCCGACCGCTGCTTTCATCTTCTTATTGCGTCCTGTATTGCCCAGAAGGGAGGGTGCAGCTTGGTGTAGCGCCATGATGAAGAGTATCAACCGCAAACTGGTACATGTCTCATGCAGATCTCATTTTAACCATGCACTGAGGCAAATACCCCTCTCAGCTTTAGCTTCTTCGACTGCAGGTGTGGAGGTGACATTACTATCCTCCTTGCCAAGACAGATGGCATGTGTTAACTGGTCGGATAACTTTTAAAAGGTGCAGTGTATATGCAGAGTGGCAGAGTTTTATTTTTATTTTTTCACTAAAGTAGTAATGAGAGCGCTGCTCTCCTAGGCTGTATATTAGACCTGCCTCTTCTCATTCGGCTACTGAGAAAAAAGATGTTTCTCTCTCTGCTTTCCATCCTGCAGATAAAGAGAAGCTGGTGGAGATGTTCCATGCCATGAAACAAAAAAGTGCCTCCACAGCGCTGCCAGTGAAAAACTCCCCGCGGGACAGTCCCAGTATCGTTCAAGCTGGTAAGCAGTTGGGAATGACAACTCTGTGGCAGCCAAGGATTGGTGGTCCTGCTTGGGACTCCCTGGCTGAAAGATGTCCTTGTGGGCTTGATCGTCCTCTATCTGTGGCTCTTCGCTCATGTAAAAGGGACAGGCTGAGTTCAGGGAAATACTATTTGAATATCACATGCAGATGGAAGTGTGTTCCTGTTGGTCTGCCAGAGCAGAGCAGAAAGTAAACGTCTTAGAAATGGCTCTGCAGAATGTGCCTGTGCGCATGTACTCAGGAGTCCCACTGATTTTAGCGGGCCCTACGCTTAGTTAAATGTACGATGGATTGCAGACTTTGCAGAAGGTTGAAAGGAACAATGCCACTTGTGTCTCATCTCCAGCTGCTTCTTCAATAGCCCTCAAAAACAGGCGAGTGTCAGAAACCACAAACACGGAAGGATGTTTTCTGTAACTGTGCCTACCTCACAATATAGTGCACATGGTTTTGGTGCCACATACAGCCACCCATTAGCACACTTCCTCAAACCAGGCGGGTAATTCTTGGAGCATAGCAGTCAAGGGTAATACAGCAGCTGCATATGAGTTCAAATTTGCACATCACAAACTCATTTTAAGATATCTTTTGGAAGTGTGTGTTATGATTATACAAGAAGATGTCTTGTCCAACTCCGTTATGTGATATTTCATTCATACTTCCTTATGTCGACAAATTCCAGATCACTTTCACAGAGTACTAAACAGAAATTAATTTATTTTTCCAAACTTCTGTCTTTAGCCATGCATCTCTTGACAAAGGGAATTTACTTCCAGAAGAACAACTGTGTAGAACAGAAGTTGCTCAGAGTGACACTGTTATCTGTTTTTTCCCCAAGAGCCACAAATACAGCAAACTGCTGTGGATTCAGATAAACCAGTCAGCACTGCTGCTGCTTCTCTGCCAGACACTCCGAAGACAGCTGAGCCCTGCAGAATAGAACAGCTGAAGCCGCACGAATTTCTAAGAGCCAAGGAGCCTATTTCTGTCTCCGTTGAGAAGCCCAGGTTGAGTGACGGGCTCACGGCCAAAAAAAGCCTGAGCATCCTCAACTACGTCCGAGGCCCTTTGCCGAAGGACATCCCTGTGCCTCTGTCACACAGCATGAACGGGAAGAACAAGCCATGGGAGCCCTTTCTAGCCGAGGAGTTTGCACACCAATTCCATGAGTCTGTGCTGCAGTCCACACAGAAAGCCCTGCAGAAACACAAAGGTAATGAAAATGCAGGCAGCAAAACGGAGGCAGGCGCTTGCCGCATGTCGCGTTGAGAAGGAAAATTCAGGACTCTGAAATGTTGGTACAGTTTTAAAGGTCGGTTCAGGTTTAAGTTTGAATGCCCAAAGGAAGACACAGCTTCTACTTGATTTTTGCTCTCTATATATGCAAATTTTGCACACAGCAAAAAACTTCATTTTAAACAGGCAAAAGTTGTGATTGAAAAATGTGCTCATCCGATTTGTGAATACAAATGAAATCTCTCTCCTTTCAGTGCTTAGAAAAGCTTCTGTAAAGCTTCTTGGAATATATTCAATTCATATTCATGTTCAATTCAGGGTGCATTTGAACAATGGCGTGCTCTTCCTTTTTCAGGAATAACCGTTATGTTAAAGCAGGATCAGCTGTGTGCCTGCTCTAAATTCCAACCTCATTCATTTAAGGGACAAACCGTGTGCCTGCGAAATATTTTACAGATGTTTAATATCTGTGCTATCCGTCCCTTGTATTCCTAGATCAGACTGAACATTTTTCAGTAGGTGGTAGTAGTTATGATAACTTCATGAAACATACCTGAAAATTCACTCATTTCATGAAAAGCTCATTAAGTCCAGAATTGCAGCATTGAAGTTGTTACCGTGTGCCGGTAACAGCCATTACTGGGAAATGTCTTAAAAAACAGAGGCAGCCAATAGGAGCAGCCGGTTTACTACCTGAAGGGGGTGATCGTTATGGGCCATAAAATGTTGTCACAGACTGGCTGTAAGAGAGAGAGTAAAAATCACTTGAGAAGGTTGAATGAGTGATCTTACCGACGCAGCTTTCAGTTAAGGTATCTTGAGTGGAAATGGTTAAAACACTGACGTTCCATTTTGAGAGTTCTGGGATATTTTTCAGCCTGATTGGAGCTTGACCGGCTGCAGCCCCTGTTTCGGGCTGTGCTGCCATCTTGATCATTCCCTCACCTCCGTCACCTCAGTGGTTCCCCCATTATTCTTTGTTCCCCCCATTATTTCATGAAGGCTCCATCATTGGAGCCTTGCAGCCCATTTCCTGCTGTGCAGTACTTGGAGCATGGCTGGGGGATGTCGCGGGGGGGGGGCGCACAGATGTTAGTGCATATTGCAAAGATGGATTATTGGTGTCTAGCACTTCCTTCATGGAGATTTTGCTTCTCCCGGCTGCTCTCTGGCATCTAAGCTGCTTTATCGAGCTGTTCTTATCAGGATACATGGGCTGTGCTTACAACTCCTTTTTCATCCAAGATAGAGTTGGCCGGTGCACACCTTGGATGGATAAGCAGTGGGGAATCCCTTACCCCTCCATTCACCGAAGCATCAGTTAGTCAAACCAAGGGTTGGAGGAGTGTGTGTTACTGATGCTTTACCTATTTCTGTTTTACCTCTTGCATGCTGGCTCCTAGGTAATGCAATGGCACACTCAGCTGAGCAGAACCATAAAGTTGATGCCTCCATCCATTATAACATTCCGGAACTGCAGACCTCAAGCTGGGTGTCTCTGCCTCAGCAGAACGGCCAGAAAGATTCCCAGCATAAAGGGTTTATTCCTCCAGAACATGACAAAATCTCTGACTCCGAAGAAGACAATGGGGAAGAGGAGGAAGACGAGGAGCAGGAGGAGGAGGAGGAGTACCACCGCAGACCAAAATGGCATGGGATAGAAGCAATCTTTGAAGCTTACCAGGAACATATAGAAGGTAAGTTACATCGATTCAGGAGAACTTCACAATGGCTGAAGTTGTTTTCCAAGAATGCAAAGAAAAGAAAGGGACAGGTCATCATATCCATTTGCTCTGGTTTTGAATGCAAAGCCTTTGCATAAATATTCTTTGTCAATATAATAAGAATTTCCCAGTGCAGAATGGGGAGAAGGTTATTTAAAATATGTGAAACTCTTGCCACAACCCAGCTTTCTAGCGGACAAAAAGCAACTGTGAAATGACCAAGAGACACTACATAATTTGAGGAATCATTTCAGGTATGAATCATTCCCCACAAAGGCGTATCTGCAGAGGGCTTATCCTCCGCCTCTGCTTCGGTACGTTCATAATACTTCGGTGGTTTTATTACATTGGTTTAAGCCTCTCAATAATTTGTCAAAATCTCCCTCTTTTCACTGAAACTTTCATCCTCTCTTAGGGTTAGGGGTGTGCACCAGGGTAGGGTTAGGGTTAGGAAAACGAGGTGTCCTGGCATGATTTTGATGCTTGGAACGTGTTTAGAAGGGGCAGAAAAGATGAGCAGTGCAGAAAAAGCCACTCACGGAGGGCTTTTTCAAAATTGCCATTTTTGATGATATTTTACCCCCCCTGTTAGGGGTGTGCACCAGGGTAGGGTTAGGGTTAGGAAAACGAGGTGTCCCGGCATGATTTTGATGCTTGGAACGTGTTTAGAACGGGCAGAAAAGATGAGCAGTGCAGAAAAAGCCACTCACGGAGGGCTTTTTCAAAATTGCCATTTTTGATGATATTTTACCCCCCTGTTAGGGTTAGGGGTGTGCACCAGGGTAGGGTTAGGGTTAGGAAAACGAGGTGTCCTGGCATGATTTTGATGCTTGGAACGTGTTTAGAAGGGGCAGAAAAGATGAGCAGTGCAGAAAAAGCCACTCAGGGAGGGCTTTTTCAAAATTGCCATTTTTGATGATATTTTACCCCCCTGTTATGGTTAGGGGTGTGCACCAGGGTAGGGTTAGGGTTAGGAAAACGAGGTGTCCTGGCATGATTTTGATGCTTGGAACGTGTTTAGAAGGGGCAGAAAAGATGAGCAGTGCAGAAAAAGCCACTCAGGGGGTGTTTTTTCAAAATTGCCCTGTTTTCAATGATATTTTACCCCACTTTTAGGGTTAGGGGTGTGCACCAGGGTAGGGTTAGGGTTAGGAAAACAAGGTGTCCTGGCACGATTTTGATGCTTGGAACGTGTTTAGAAGGGGCAGAAAAGATGAGCAGTGCAGAAAAAGCCACTCAGGGGGGGTTTTTTCAAAATTGCCCTGTTTTCAATGGTATTTTACCCCACTGTTAGGGTTAGGGGTGTGCACCAGGGTAGGGTTAGGGTTAGGAAAACGAGGTGTCCTGGCACGATTTTGATGCTTGGAACGTGTTTAGAAGGGGCAGAAAAGATGAGCAGTGCAGAAAAAGCCACTCAGGGAGGGCTTTTTCGAAATTGCCATTTTTGATGGTATTTTACCCCGCTGTAAGGGTTAGGGGTGTGCACCAGGGTAGGGTTAGGGTTAGGAAAACGAGGTGTCCTGGCATGATTTTGATGCTTGGAACGTGTTTAGAAGGGGCAGAAAAGATGAGCAGTGCAGAAAAAGCCACTCAGAGAGGGCTTTTTCAAAATTGCCATTTTTGATGGTATTTTACCCCGCTGTAAGGGTTAGGGGTGTGCACCAGGGTAGGGTTAGGGTTAGGAAAACGAGGTGTCCTGGCATGATTTTGATGGTTGGAACGTGTTTAGAAGGGGCAGAAAAGATGAGCCGTGCAGAAAAAGCCACTCAGGGAGGGCTTTTTAAAAATTGCCATTTTTGATGATATTTTACCCCCCTGTTAGGGTTAGGGGTGTGCACCAGGGTAGGGTTAGGGTTAGAAAAACGAGGTGTCCTGGCATGATTTTGATGGTTGGAACGTGTTTAGAAGGGGCAGAAAAGATGAGCAGTGCAGAAAAAGCCACTCAGGGAGGGCTTTTTCAAAATTGCCGTTTTCAATGGTATTTTACCCCCCTGTTCGGGTTAGGGGTGTGCACCAGGGTAGGGTTAGGGTTAGGAAAACGAGGTGTCCTGGCATGATTTTGATGGTTGGAACGTGTTTAGAAGGGGCAGAAAAGATGAGAAGTGCAGAAAAAGCCACTCCGGGAGGGCTTTTTCAAAATTGCCATTTTTGATGATATTTTACCCCCCTGTTAGGGTTAGGGGTGTGCACCAGGGTAGGGTTAGGGTTAGGAAAACGAGGTGTCCTGGCATGATTTTGATGCTTGGAACGTGTTTAGAATGGGCAGAAAAGATGAGCAGTGCAGAAAAAGCCGCTCAGGGAGGGCTTTTTCAAAATTGCCCTGTTTTCAATGGTATTTTACTCCTCTTTTAGGGTTAGGGGTGTGCACCAGGGTAGGGTTAGTGTTAGGAAAACGAGGCGTCCTGGCATGATTTTGATGGTTGGAACGTGTTTAGAACAGGCAGAAAAGATGAGCAGTGCAGAAAAAGCCACTTAGGGAGGCCTTTTTCAAAATCGCCCTCTTTTCAATGCTATTTTACCGTTTTACCTATCGGGGGCTGTCAGGGTTAGGGGTGTTCACCAGGGTAGGGTTTAGGATGTGGTGCTGAACCCATAGCACACGTGCCGCAGTTTTCACGTAGTGCCCTCTCCGTCGGTATGTGAGCCAAGTCGCCCCAGCATCGCCCCAGGAGCTGAGCGTCGGATAAAAGCGCACAGGGGCCATGCGCATGCTCTGGAAGGAGTAGTGGCGCCAGACGATGGCATCACGAGCTGTAATGCATTAGTCACAACTCGCCTGAGCTTTCACATGGCCGTCAGTGCACTTCCAAGGGCAGATATATATTTGCTGGATTTGGCTGTGAGTTGTTTTTCTAAACTAAAACCTTAGTTTTCAGGTTTTATTTTAGTGTTGGCACTTTGTGATAATTAGGTCTGTTTTGGCTTGCAGTTTGGGCACTCGGTCTCTAAAAGGTTCGCCATCCCTGGTCTAGACCCAGAGGCCTGGCCTACCTTTGGATTATGGTCCAGAGATGCTTTTCCTTTTTATTTTCCCAGAGTTCTCCTCCTCTTCTGACTGCAACTTAAGATTATTGGTCCACCTGTGACTATTCCCTTAAATTTCTTGCACCAAAATTGCTCCACATTAACTGCTTGAGCTCTTGTCCCCCATTACTCATTGCACTGCTTAAGACACAAATGCTAAGTCGTTTCCTGAGCATCAGCTGCTATTATGCCCTCTAGTTTTATCACAGCAGTAAATCTTACATTTCTGATATCTTGCAAGTTAATTACATCTCTCTCAGATACTTATGAACAGGATTTAAATTGCCTTTTAGAAACCTGTAAGGCAGAGTTATTAGCATCAAAAGAGATTCCGTAAAGTATTCCCATAAACTCTACCTTTTATGATGTAAGGCTGCTACCATTAGTTTTTCCCTCCCTTTCAAAGAATTATACTACTTTGAATTTCTCACTGCCTTTAATTTCTCAAGGAGCAGATTTCAATCCTTAGGTAGAAGATAGTAAGCCTGGACAGATTTCAGGCTGCCTCATAATACTGTGCTTTTAAGATTAACACAGTCAAGAGATAATCTCTCCTTCATATGTCATGGGGTTATGTATTGATGAAACAATCTTACTCTTAAGATCTCTAATAAATATTACTGGCTTCTGAGGTCACAGAACCAGAAAGTTTTCAGTTTGAATTCAGAGTGGTTAACCTTTAAAGCTCTAAATAGTTACGTCTCTTAGGCAGCCTCAAAACTAAAGGTAGGAGAGACACTGAATTCAGAACTAAGCAGGAAGGAAACTGATTGTACCTCATCCCACAATGTGGGAGTGCTGGCACTCCCAGCTCATATTCTGTATTATAATTTACACGGAAGTAGTCCTACACTTTGTAGGGAATTGTCAGAAAGTGCCTAGTCTAAAATATACATTCCAGCCCTAAAACCAGAAAATGTTGGGAACGCAAAGTACCCCAGAATAGCCATAGGAACAGTTACTAGGGTACTTTTATATCCCCCAAAATAGGCTCCAAGCAAGGGAACAAAAGAAAATTCATTTAAAATAACTATATTTTTGGCCAGGACGTCTCCAATTATATTGTTTTATATGGTTAATTGTGTATTTATTTATTGTTGTGAGCTGCCCCGAGGCTTCGGCGAATGGGGCGGCATAGAAGCTCGCTAAATAAATAAAAAATAAAAATAAATAAAACCTTCAGCAAACAGAATTAAAATCCACTTGGGGCAATTTATTTTAAACTCTAGTAGGTCAAATTATCGCAGTATAGAGAAAATGTCAATGTGCCAAGCATTGTTATGTAGTTTTGTTTTGCATAGCCTCAAGAATGATTACATATTATTTGATTGAAACATTCCTGGGAATTTAGGCAGGACCAAAAGTTTTTCATATGCAGCATTGTTTTCGCCTGATGCACTTCTGCCTGGAATCAGAGATGCATTCGGGGCAAAGCTTCTAACCAGCTTGTAAATTTGAGCTGGTAAGGCGTTTTCTATGAGTGTAAATGAATCGCATTGGTAATTTCTCTCTCGCTTATTCCTCCCTTCATGCGTGAAGTGTTCATTAGCTGATCACCGGGCTTTCTGAGGTGGTGGGGACAAGTACGGCCTTGTTAGCGTCCACACCACCTTGCAGAATGCCCTTCGAGGTCAGATAGGTAAAGTTCAAACAGGGCACCCCTTTACTCTACATGCCTCCTTAAAGCCTCATTAAGAACGGTCTTCGCTGAGAAAATGACATAGCCACAGAAGGGACCCTGCTGTTCCCATTCATCTTGTTTTTTTTTGGTCTTATGAACTTACTTTGTGCTGGATTTTTAGCTCATGTCAATTGTTTTTTAGTATGATGGTCGTTTAATTGCAGTGCCTTCATTTTTGTATCCCTTGTTTTATTATTTTGTACTGTCCTGTTTTTTTGGTTGCCCCAGGAGAGCAATCCTGTGGCCCATAGACAGCATCTTAGTAGCCACAGGGGCCTTTTCAGATGCCTAGATTAGAGGTCAAAGCCAGTGCGCTGACACTGGAGCTCCAACCCGCCTTTCCCCACACAGCCAACCCAGGAGGAACTGGGGTGCCTGCTCCCCAAGTTCAGGAATGCAGCCTTAGAGGAGAAAAGCTGGCACTTCAGCTGGGGGGCGGGTGGCCAGGATCCAAGCTGCCTCAGTGCCTTTCCAGCCTTCTTTCTCCAAAACACTCCAGCCAGAGGGGCAAAAACTAGAATAAGGAAAAATAATCACCTCCCGAAAGGGGCTCTCACTTCCACTGGACTGCAACTCAGTAACAAGCTAGCTGTTTCTCTCCCATGAAAGGAGTAATTTTGAATGGCTTTTGGAAGATGGTGCCATCATATACACTAACAAGCAGGGAAGAATGATATGCTTAGGGAGAACTGAGGTTTGCAGAAACATAAAATCTTTAGAAACATTTAATGAACAGCACAGGGAGGACTGAGCATGCTCACCGGGCACGGAATGGGGGGCAGAAAACTAGGGAGTGATGACGCGGTGAAAACCCTCAACTGGAGCACTTTCCTCTGCAGTGATGTATCACAAGCCCTGCTTGTACATGAAAATTCATATTCATGAAATTAGTCCCTTGATAGCAACTTTGATAAGTACTTAGTAAACAAAATCCAGGAAAAGCTGATTTTGGAAAATCATATTTATTGTAGGAAGAAAAAAAAAACTTATGTTGAGCATCTTTTCGCTGCTGGAAAGAACTAGGAATTTAGCTGTAAAGGCCATCTGTTCATTTCTGAATGTTCAGATGTAGTTTCTCAACTGTGCGGACTCAGCACGAAGGCAAAGCACTGAGATTTAAAATGGAGGATGCCACCCCCTCGATGCCACGGACGCGTCTCCTGCGTGCTCTTGCTTCAGAGACGACCGCCGGCTCGCTCAGGCGACTTACCAGTCTGAATTTCATTGCAGAGCAAAACCTGGAGCGGCACGTCCTGCAGACCCAGTGCAGACGCTTGGAGGCCCAGCACTACAGCCTCAGCCTGACTGCGGAGCAGCTGTCGCACACCATGACGGTGAGTCGGGGCCTGCGCCGGCACGCCCGGCAGGGCCGCCAACCTGAAGCCAGGGCCACCTGGCCGGCTACCCGAGGAAGGGGGCCCGGGGCCCAGAGTGGCGCCTGGTGCTCCAGGCCTTCGCGCTGCTCCCGAGACACTGCCTGCACCCCGGATTGCACTGCCTGAAACGTCTTTTCTCTTCCCGTGCAGGAACTGAGGAACCAGAAGCAGAAGATTGTCTCTGAAAGGGAACGACTTCAGGCCGAGCTAGATCACTTGAGAAAGTGCCTTGCATTGCCTGCAATGCAGTGGTCTAGGAGTTACTTCAAGGGGTATCCCAGGTGACACTCCCTTGCACTAGGCCGAACATATAGTATAGAAATAATAATCTATTTTATTACCTGGAATATTTAATATTTTTCACTGGGAGGTTTGAAGCTTAAAAATAAAAGAGAATGTGCCATGCATGGAGCAAAGGAATGTGGGATCCAGGAAAATCCAAAACCATCTCTTGAAAAGATGCAACCGTCTTTCTACACTCTGCAAGTAGCCCGCTTGAACACTGGTTCAGTTAATTTTGAAAGGGTTATTTTCCTTCTGCTTCCTCTTTTTTTTAATCTTGTTTTTAATCCAGAGAGTCCACCAATGACACTAATGTTCGCCTCCCGCTGAAGGGGCGGGGATTATCTCCATACATAATGCTCCTTTTTTGTTGCCATATGAATTCAGTTGATGTTGTTTGGATCTGTACATTTTATTTGTTCTGAAACACACAGTTTTGCAATCCATGAGGATGCCAGGTACACATCTGCTTCTGTTAGAATGAACTGGATATTTTGGATACAAAAATAATCGCCTGCAGAGTAACAGACCCAGCAGAAGAAAATGCAGCTTCCAAACTTGACTTCCCATGCATCAATCAGCTTTTTGCTGGACATGCACTTCACTTGAAAAATAAAAGTGAATAAATAAACTGAAGGTACCGTTTTATTACTGGGAAGGGGAGGATGTACAGAACAGTGATATACATACAATACACACAGATTATGTACCCCAGTGGGTAGAATTTTCATACAAAGATTTTGCAATTAAAGAGTTGAAAAAAGGTGCTTCAGCCTTGTACTGTGTATATATTTAAAATGTTTTGTATGTTTTATTACTTTAATTATTGTTATAAAAAGCTTGCCATTTTCAATATGTTTCTGCTTTTTTTTTTTTTTTGGCAAAACGGTAGCTTGCTTTTAGTGTTTGTACTGCTGCTGGTCAGGACATGAAAAAATATTGAAGTGTTTAAAAAAAAAATTTTAAAGAAAAAGCTTTCCACTGGGGCACGTGCTATCACTTCTAAGTATTTTGCAATGTGTAGCACCTGGTTGGTGGTACAGTGAATTCTCTTACTATAAAACCAGGCACTTCCCCTTTCTCCTGCTCCCTACCTTACATTTCTTCAAGTACTTGAAATACTGAATGTCACATGACCAGCTGCTATTGAGAATCCAGGGTTGCAATCTGAGGAGACCACGATTTAGGGACTAAATTACAATCCTCGCAGTCAACATCCAGTACTTGCTCAGTTCACCAACACTGACTGAAATCACAGCAGCATCAACTCTGTGAGGTTTCCAAAGAAAAAAAGTTCAGTCCAAAAACTACAAAAAAAAAAAAAAAAGCTTATGCAAAGAAAGGAAAATCTTGTGAAGTGTGCCTCAAACTAGCTGTCTCCAAACTGCTTCTCACTCACACAAACACACACAGAGTGGTATGTTGCGATTCCATTCACCAGTGAACCGAAGCGTACGAGTAAACGCAACAGTGTGGACTGGCTGCATGCAGCACCCGATTGACACCCATGTTGCAAACAGCACAACAGGCAACCGACCTGCCCTCACAATCATGCGATTCGTACCTGCAGCCCTGTAGTTCCATCGCTGAAACAAAGGATCTGGTTTCACCGTCCGCTGTGAGGAGGGTCTCGGCACTGTCTGTATCCAAGCAACAGCCCATCGTTCTTGATTCAAAAGTCATGGATCCTCAATGCCCACGGCCCTTACATGACTTTTAAGGTCTATCCTATCCTGGCTCTCTCAGCCACTGCCGTAAATCCGACCCCTTTGACCGGTCAACAAGAGCCGATGTGCACTGGCATTTTTTCCTTACCTAAATAGTGCCTGTTCAAATTTGAAATGAAACTCCTTTCTCCAGCAAAACATCTTGGCCATAATTTTGCTATTCTTTTCCACACTTCATTAATTATCACTATTAACTATAACATCAACAGAAAAAGGCATTATTGCAGGGCAAGACAGATAAGATATCCATGCGGCAACTGATATTCGGTCTGGAAGTTTGCAGTAAGAAAACTCCAAGCTCCAGTTGTCTGTCGAGGCTGCCTTCTCCGCTGTGTGAAGTGTGACAAAGCAATACATGTAAAGAGGAGTCCCTGTCTCTTAAAATAACTTTGTAAGTATCTTAAGAGTGTCAGTCACAAAATGTTACAGGCCCGGACTTTTTGTATTTGCTGAGTGGCCCATACACGAAAAGTGAGGTTCAGTTCCCACAAGCAAGTTCAGAATGGCTTTCCCAGCCTTAACTCTTCCATTCACCACCAACCAGTTCTTGCTGACAAAAGTATGGCAAAAGCACAATACTTCGAAAAGACAAATACCACAACCCTGGAACTTGCCGTCTGCAGTCACTGGGCTATTTTTATCCTTTTTTTGTACTCTGAGATTTTACTTGCTGATGTGCGATGTTGGTTGTTGCTATAGAAAAACTATTTTGCTGAACACCTAGAATGAAAAGCAAGTTCTTACGTTCTTACCATACTCGGTGATCAGCTGCAAGGGACAGCAATGCTTCTATGCCCTTTAATCTCTTAGAAGATCCAGCTGGTGCAGGTTCTTCACCCTTTGAGAAAGCTAGACCTGCCATAATTCCATTTTCTATGCAACTTTTATGAATACCAAAGCCCTGACCACCCTCCAAAAGAAAGTATATCTGTTATAAGCAGGTACACTCAAGAGCAAATTTGGTCCCCAAGTTAAAAAGCCTTGTTCCTAGATACAAAGAGCATGCATGTGTGAGTTTCTCTTTCAATTACCAGGTGCTCCTTCAGCCAGCCATGCCTGACAGCTTCTGTAATAGTGTTCTGCATATCCTTCCTTGATATACTGAGACAATCGGCTCTAATGGAGCATGAGAGAAAAATAGCAGGAAAGAGCAAAAGTCATTTATTATTTTTTCCTGTCAATACTGTTAGGCTCACCCATTTGCCTTCACCAGGAAAAAGAAACCTCTACCTGTTTATCATGGCTGCCATTTTATTCCATAACTAGAGTTTGCCAAAAAAGGAAAATGCAAAACTATACCTTAAACTTAACATCAGCTGAAAAGTATTATAGGACCACAGCATTAATGTTCGTTGCTATTCAGGTTTCAGTTTTGGCCAGAAAACACTTCTGGAACACATTTACAGTTGCTAGCCATGTGGGAATGCAATACATATTTGTAGTAGTGATGCAGGAAGTTCCACTACCTTTAGGCGTCTGAGAAAAAAGATGAGCTGAAAATTAATGGCTCTATTAATAAATTTCTAACTAGATTAATTTTCTATTTTCTTCCCTACTTCGACACTATCCAAATTGGGTGTTAGACGAGGGGCATATGGGCTGCTATCTTCACAGCAAGTTCATCCAGAAGTTGCAGTGTCTTTCACATCAGAACGGACCGTACCTTTTGCTTCCTAGTTTAACCGATGAGAGAGTGGGCAGGAGCAAACACGGGCATTCCCAAGGGAGGCCACTGCACCCACGTTTCTGAATACAACTGCACTGAGTGCAGTTTCTCTCAACTGAGCGAAACGCAGGCTACATTCTGTGGGAAGGCATTGGCACCACATCACTTCAGCATTTGCAGGCCTGACAACGTGTGCTGTTTAAGGGCACGCGCGAGAGCCGACTGGCTTGATCTCCTTATAGATGGATAACAGTCGTGAAAACTGAGTGTGCGCTTTGTCAAACTCAGTTGGATTCTAATCCAGCCTCAGACAAGGGTACACAAGATGCCGGGTCAGCATCAATTTCCCATTCAGTGAAAGTACCCATTATTTGAAATATTCCTTTTCCTCATATAATGCAAAATCATAAATGCGGAGGCTAAAAATGGACCATTAAGAAATCACAAGACCCTACCACGGAGAAACCCATCTTTCAAAGAGTTCTCTCCTTTTCTAACTTTAACAATGGAAGGCAATGTATTCTGCTCCCATAACCCATGTAGAAACTACCTGGCCCTGGCCCACTGCTTAAATTCTCAAACATTTGCTCTCCCTTGACCCCAGGACCATGCTGACGTCTTGTTCTAATGCGAAATTTCTCCAGCAACAGAGCAGGAGGGGAGAGCAGGAGGATAAAGCCCAGCCTGCTGGGGCAGTTTAGATGCTGTGAGACAAATTTAACCTGTTTTAAGTGTACTTGTTTGAACTAAATGTAATGTAATATATTATTTGTTGAATGTAGTAATTAGGTATTTATGAATATATTGCTGTAATTTCTGACAACATCCAAAAATAAACTGTTCCTAAATCATGACAAAGGATTATTTTCCCAACCCCAATGGTGAAAAAGTTACACTGACTCTGTGGAAATTAAAAACAGCAACACTAACCACATTTAAAGGCACCTTTGGAAGAAAAAGATCAAATCCTGCAGCACTAGCAGCTTCATCCAGCTTTATATGGCATTTACACCCTATAAACACCTTATAGCTAACCTTACAACCAGACCAATAAGGTAGGTCATGACTTTTCCTGCAATGAATAAACTAGAAACTTACTAGAAGCTAGAATGGCTAAAGTTAAGCAATGACATAATTTCCAAAACGCTGACAAGTATCACAAATAAACTTTAAGTAGCATGGAAAAAGATGCAAGGGATAGTAGACAGCAAATTATTAGACACTATGGCAGTGTATGACTATAACACCTGAATAAAATATATAATGCATTTTGATTCTGACTATTTGAAGACTACGACTGGTACTGTAAACCGCTCTGGGAGCATAATAAAACCAGGTTTAAGTGGTGTGTTTGGAGAGAACATGCTAGTCCGCTATAAGCAAACTCTTGCCCCATCTTTAACAACTTCATGATGCAATATTAAAAATGTGCTTGTAGGCAAAGGTTCATTCTTGGAATGTCACATAACACTGCAAATAAAATAGAACAAAAGAAAAGCTCACTAAGGTTAATAAGAAAAACAGATGGAATTTGCACCAGAACTCTTCATGATAAAAGATCAAGCGATTCAGTTTCTGGTGAACCTTTCACTAACATGTACACAAGCGCAGTCTGCGCAGTTCAAACATTTGAACTTCCTTATCCGAAACACCCCACAGAGAGGCAAGAGGTCAGAGGACTACTGCAGAACGCACCCACCGCTGCCTAGGCCAACCTGTCCCACGAACGAGTCTTCATGTAGCCGCATTTAGGCCACAATCCTAGTATTCTCCTCCGCTCAAGTGGCTTCTAAGGAAGGCGATAAGCCAGATACTCAGCAACATTTGCTGTGTGACTAATGGCCAGTGGAAACCAGATCAAGCACTGAATGCCCGTGGAAACCAGCTGTAACTGCAGGGAGTCTCCAGCAAATTAAAGGCGACCCTTCACAGCAGGGATAAAAAGAACACAAACCAGACCAAGTGATGTGCCTTGTCTTGCAGCCCCATTGTCTCCCCCTCTTAGCAGACACTCTTACACAAAAGCAGTGCACTTCAGTAGCTGCTGTCAAGGCAACCAGAGAAAACCCTTTATCTCGGAGGACAGCTGACAGACAAAGACTGCAATCAGCGATATCATGGTGGAAGCTCTGGGTCCTGTCGGAAAGAGGGACTGGAATACACACCTCACTCCCCAGGTAGGCCCAGAGGAGTGCCATGCAACTGGATCCTTAGGTGCCGGAACCAATGTGCTTCCTCCTCCTGGAGGGAGAATAAAATCCAGCCCAGAAGCAAAAGCTACGGCCAATTCGTCTGGAAGGGCAGCCACACGTCGGGACGCTGGAGTGTTGTTGGCGAAGAGCATCTATTTGTTGGGGGAAGGTAACATGCACCTCCACTGCTGAGGTCACACCGTTTTGCAACGATGGCAGACTGGGCTGGCTAGAACGCCGCAGCCTCAACGTTCCATTAGCTTCCAACTAGTTCAGGCTATCCAGAATGATGTTACACTGACTCGGTCATGATGCAGAGTTTTCGCTTTGAATAATTTGCCAAATAGTATCACATGTGTGCTTGCTTAAGACTCGGGAATCGGCAGGCTGCCAGGAACACATTTCATGGAAGATTGCTGCCTTCAAAAGTCCTGGGATTGGGCATTCTCTCCGGGCTGGAGACTGGTTCGGAGCTTGTACATGTGATCTAATGCTTGAGTAAGGAAAGCACCGGTGGTGTTGATCTCCATCAGCGTCAGATTATCCAGCTTATGAGAGACAAGGAACAGACATTACAAAATGACAAGATTCATAAGAATTGCAAAAGTGTACAAAAAAATAATAGAATCTGGTTACCCGAGAGGCGCCTCAGAATCATAAGATTCTCTTTCTTTAAGCCAGCAAGATTCTAGCTCATGTGTCTGCGAGGGAGGAGCTTGGCAACATTAATGCCTGGTCGACCAACGACTCAGAGATGACTCAGATGGCATTTCTGGTAACCGGGGTGAAAAGAACCGTCCGCTGACTTGCCAAACTTTGTCCACAGCATTTGACAAATCTTCAAAATAGGACTACAGCAAACATACCACTCTTATCAAGCTTACCCAGTTTAGGATTTTCTTTCACAGAATTTAGAATGTGGTACTGAATCAAAATGCCACACCTTGACTTCAATATATTAATGTTAATACCAGCCACATAAAAATGGTCCTAGACCAGTGGTGGTGAACCTATGGCACATGTGCCACAGCAGGCACGCAGAGCTGTCCCTGTCGGCAAGCAAGCCAAGTTGCCCCAGCAGCCGAGCATGTGATCACAGTGCGCATAGGGGCCATGCGCATGCTCGGAAAGGAGTAGCGGCACCAGGCGATGACGTCACAAGTCAACTCGTCCGAGCTTTCACATGGTCAGTCGGTGGGCTGCCAAGGGGGGTGGGGGGGGGGGTGTGTGTGGGTGTGTGGGTGTGTGGGTGTGTGTGTGTGTGTGTATTTTCCCTTGGACTGGCTGTGAATTGTTTTTTCTATACTAAACCCTCAGTTTTCAGGTTTTATTGCAGTCTTGGCACTTTGCGATAAATAGGTGGGTTTTGGGTTGCAGTTTGGGCACTCGGTCTCTAAAAGGTTCACCATCACTGCCCTAAACCACTGACCTTGCTAGTAAGAGATGGCAGGAATTGTAGCCCACTGTATCTGGTGGCACCAGACAGGTCCAGACAATCGCAGGTACATCAAATCGCCGTTGTTCTGGCAAGCACCCCTAACTTGCAAATTTCGGATGGCCTCTCCCTGAACACACTCCCATATCCAAATGCAAAATCGCTTCATGGCGCATACAAGTGGCATGGAGATGCCCTTCCTGGGCTGGCGAAGGCCACAGTTCAACAGCGGCACAGCACCCTTTCAAGCAATCACGCAACCCTAACTAAGCAAACCTGTGAGCACTGGTGTGTGACACCTTGCCACACGGACAGTCCAAAGGACTTCCAGGGCGACTGCAATTCAACAATAAAATTCTGAATCTCACTGCAGCTATTCGGTGCCAATAGGAATTAGCTGAGGCTATGCAAAGGACAGGATAGAAATGCTTTAAATGAAGAAATAATAAACAAACAAACAGGAGCCTAAGCAACATTTACATTTTCCATAGAAATTCTGACGGTTCACAGAACAAACTGCTTAAACATGCACTAAAGTACTCTCCCAGCTTCATCAATAAACTTAATTTATTAGACGTACAGCCCACATTTTTCTTATAACAAACTCATAGCATCGTAGATCATTCACCTCCTCCGGCTCTCAATCTTATCCCCACAACAACAACCCTGTGAGGAAGGCTGGGCTGAGAGCCTGTGACTGGCCCAAAGTCACCCAGTTGGTTTCAAGGCATGTGGGAACTAGAACCCAGATCACTCGGGTTAAGCTCTTAACCACTACCCCACACTGGCTGTCATGGCTTATGAAAGCATCATAGATTTCTCTTACCCGGGCATGAGCTTCCTGCTGTCTGACAAAGCTGTCCGCAGACAACCGGAGTTTGGCTATCCGTGTGTCCCATATATCTTTAACCAAGGTTCGGATTTCATCTGCCTTTGGAATATTATCCACAGCACTAACAGAGAGGGGAGATTAGTAAGAACTTTCTATAAGGGACCCGAGAGGCACTTCACAAGTTCAAATCCCAGACACATTCAAGATATTGATCAGCTTCTAAAGAAGCCGCAGGCATATGGGTATTTTCTCATACTACTCAACAGGAACTTGCCATTAAAACAATCTGTCTACATTATGAAAGATTTTGTTACGAAATACGCCGCCCAGGCGAACAAGTCAGTAAAGCGCTATGCCAAGAGATGCAGACACTTACATTAGATAAGCGCCCCAAACCAAGGGTCCCCAGCCTTTTGGGGATGTAGGCACATCTGGGGATTTGAGAAACTGCCATGGCTCCCATGGAAGATGTGGCCAGTCCCATAATGGGGTTGGGTCAGTCAACGGTTAAATACTGTAGCAGGCAGGGGAGAGAAACAGCAAGAAATTAAAGAGATGGTGAGGGAGAAATAGTGAGCCAGCAGATGAGGAGAAAAGGAGGGGGGCATGGCTAGAGTGGGAGAGGAAGACGACTAGGAAAGATGTGAGGGGATAGTGAAGCTAGAAACCAGGAGTACAGGAGGGAAGGGGGAGAAATCCATGTGGCGAGAAGACTGAGGAGGGCAAGAAAGTGACTTCCCTGCCTGCTGGCCACCAGCTAATCCACAACAGGTGCAGCAGCAGGAAGGACGAGCTGGCCCCCTTAAATCTTTCATTTTTTTTTAAATTGAAAAAACGAAGGGGTCAAAAATGGCAGTTTGTGGATGCAGCAGCAGGTCCCTGCAGATGGCTTGGGACATGGGAGCAGCAGTGCACTAGGGGTGCCTGCCCTAATACACTTGCACCTTGTTCTTCCACTGGCCCAGCATGCGGTTCCTTCTTCCCAGCAGTCTTATGGGCAGTGACGCCAAGGGCCATCGCGTCCCCTGGCATGGCCCAGTTTCCTCCCCAGTTTCAAGACGCCGACTGTACAGACTCTGTGCTGTCACCATCGAGTCAGACCTGATGAAGAGGTGCTTTACGCACTCCAGTGGTACAGCACACACTCTGCAGGTCTCAGGTTTGAGCCTGGCATTCCAGAAAGGGCAGGAAAAATTCCTGACTGAAATGCTGCAAAGCTACCTCCCGTCACTGCCAAAAGCAGGATGCTAGAGCTGATGCCAGGTAAGGCAGCGCCTCATCTGACTATGAGACTGCAAAAGCAGCCACATTTTGGTGACCTCTGAGTTGGACTAATAAACGAATTATTCTGAAATGGATTTTTATTTTTTTCTTATGACCAATATGACTTTTTGCCTAATTCCTTTGTATACTGCCAGCATTAGAATTTGCCCATCAAATACCTTTTCACAGAGAGCAAAGCAGTAGTATTACATTATGAAACCTACTCACTAGTTCAACAGCAACTTAGTCAATTCCATGTAGAAAGGACTAGGCATTGGGGTGAAAGTGTCTTCTTTGCGTTCCTGATCTCGAATTTGCTCTAACTTTTCTAGAAAGTAAGAGAAAGAAATTTTGCATATTGATCCTGCAGAATGAACACTACATTTAAGGAAGTCAGCATTCTAATGAAAGAGCCAGAACAATAAGGAAAGTAATTAGCATGTATCTGTTTCAGTAGACAGTCATAATAATGAATAAAAACACAACTGACTTCTAACAGCAGGTAGAGGCTGCACTGTAAGTTGCCATCTTCTCCCCCAAGGGAGCTAACTCCCAGATATGTGTGTATAAGATTGCAGACTTGGCCTCCTAAAGTAAATAGGTACCTCTACTAAAGTGAAGACATTCATCACCAAAGACGGGCACAACACCGCCGCAAACTAGCCAGCATGGCAGAGTCCTACTTAGTATGAAAGGACCGTGTACCCATTGCTACTACAGACTTTTGAAAAGAAAAATGTATTTAGGAAAGCTGCAGCAGAGAGTAAATACAAATATCTCATGATCTGCTGTGAATACGAATATTTAAAATCATACTGAAACACACCAGCTGACATTTGAATTAGAACATTTGATGTATCATAAATCAGCACTTATCTTAAAAATTAGAAAAGAATCAAATGAAATACAACAATGCATATGTATAGATGCAGTCAGTTAAAAAATGGTAAAAAGCAGCAAAATGGTAGTTTTAACAATTAAAAGGCCAAACAGAGGCCATTCAACAGCCAACACCTTATTAAACTGGAAGTGGCTCTTCCTTACCTACATCCATCCATTCTGGAGGTATCAGTCGACACTTCTGTCTCTGTTTCAGGTTGATCGCCAACCAGAGAGGTACTTCCACAGGCAGCCCAGGATTAAAGGGACCCAAGTCCCCCTAAGGGAGAAATTCACAAGAAATATGGAAAGCTGTTTTAATTATCTGTAGTATGTTAATGCCACTCCCCAGCCACAAAGACTCCCCAAACGACTGGCATACAACGCCATAATATTTGTTTTTTTTTTTTTAATGTATTAAAAGCTTTTCTATCCTGCCCCGGTTCTCACTCCCGTCTATTTTAACCGCCTTGTCCGACAAAGAGCGCTCGAGGGCTGAACACCCGACACGGCTTTTTGTCCCACTAAACGCTTTATCCGAGGCGGGCAGCTCTAGGCGACGGCACGTGCGGGGCCTCCACAACGGGGCTGGGGCGAGTTTTGCTCTCCAGCCCGATGAACCGTGTTTCCGGCGGGCAACGAGCTCCGCCCCAAGAGGCAACCCAGCCAGGCCGACCCGGGGCTCCCCTCGGTCCAGGGGCGAGAGCACCTCGCTCGGCCACTGCCCCGACCGCCCGAGGGCCCGGCAGGCTCAGCCGCGGGGCCTCCGCTCTCGGCGGGTCTCCCACCCGCGGGGAGGGTTCTGCGTCCCTGCCCAGGCCCCGCCGGGGGCGAGCGGCCGGCCGGCCGGTCGGTCGCCGCGGCCTCCCCGGCCGCGCGGAGGCGGGCGGCCGACAGCGGGACG